TGTATGATGACGTCAGGAGTGGGTTAACCATATAAAACTACTCTAAAAAGACCGAGTAACAATCCAAAATTGTTAGAAATGCTTTTAATCATTTCTAAATTTCAGGCAGCAACCAGAAACGAGGTTTTGGATACATATTGATCGCTTAGGCCCGGTTTAGACGCCGTACTTTTCATGAGCCGAATTTAATACAATGAATTAAGCACATAAGAAGCACGGCGTCTTAAATTAAGCACTGCACTTAATATTATAAGCACAGCTAAATTAATAAGTTCGCCTGATTTAGGCGTGCTACACGCCTGAAGCACATGTTGATTTATACTGCCGTGCTTTACATGAGCCGTACCAAATGCATAAATTATGATAATGAATATTTTATTATTTCTATTGTTTTCGTGCCCGCGCGCGGGAAAATTAGCACCACGCGGTACACGCGTTCCCAAATTTTGACAACATGGCTGTTTGTGTCGGATGTAAAAGAGAAACAAGGTATGAATGTATTCGTTGTGAAAGGAAAGTTTGCACTATGTGCTCAGTCGCAGAAGTAGATGATACATTATACAAAGTAGATGATGCAAAAGTTTTCTCCGTCTTTTTTGTTTTTTGCTAGTAGTTTTCTTTGGAAATTAACTCGTGTTTCCCTGTTCCGTCCAGGCATCATGTTTTGTTTGTATTAGATTTAAAAAAAAGCTGATTAAGTCGCTAATGTTAACCACAAACAAATGCTCAGAAATGCCAAGATCATAAATGTGAGCGGATAACAAATCAACTTTCGCGCCATTTTTCTTGTTATGACATTTAACTTGCTCCACTATTCGAAGCGAAAGAGCGTTAATAAATTAAGTACAGCTCATAAAAAGCACGCCTGTCTAAATCAAAATTAAAAATTTGCTTATTTTACTCGAGTAAAATATGAATTAAGTTCGGCTCATGAAAAGCACGGCGTCTAAACCGGGCCTTACTCTCATGATGAACAATTAGCGTGACACAGAGCCCTCGATCACTTGACGTTGCATATCCTCAATAATCCAAGATGGGGAACAGCTCATTTTTTTCAGTCGAAATATTTTGAAAACTAAGTAAATATTTTGAAAACTATGTATAGTTTTAAGAGTTCTTTCAAATGAACTAAATGAATTTTTTATTCCCAATGTCCGTTAGGTTCGACTGCACATCACGTCACTGCGGCCATGTTGGTGATATTCCAACAAAAGAATCTCATTCCCAATTTGGCACCATTGTCGTCATTTATTGGCTATAAATTCTTAATTCGACCCAAGCTTAAAATGCTCAACTGTAATCTCCCTCTTCCACGGGCCCTCGTGCCTCATGGGAAGGTCCCAATTTCTAGAAGACATCAGTGCTATATATCTTGTAAACATCCATAATTCGCATCAATTGAGTACCGCTTAATTGCTGACTGTCAGTTGTTTCGGAGCACAGGTTTATTTCAGAACAATTAAACAGGATGTTCACGGGCCTTGAAAATCCTGGAAAGTCCTTGAATTGGAAAAATAAATTCTAGGACTGGAAGTCCTTAAAAATCAGCAGAAGTCCTTGAAAGTCCTGGAATTAATTTCCTTAACCTCCAGCTATGCCAACATTAATAATTTTGATTAAAATTACTGAATAAAGTGAATTATTTGCTTGTTAAAGTTTTCCCAGTTCTAGCATAGGCAGCCCAATGTTATGGTTGCCTGCCTTGGCTGCGCGCGGGCGAGGCATTGTATATATCGAGGCATTGTTATAAGTTGTCCACTATTTCGGATTATTGCGGATAAGCACATTACGTCACAAACAGGGTAAATATTTTAGCCAGACGTGCTAGTCATTATGAGCCCAAAATTATACTTCGGTCACTATTTTAAATATCCATTTGTTTGACAACGATTTAAGAATTTACCAATTGTTAGTTGGTTGCATGGGAGTAGTTTTATATGGTTAACCCTGCTTTTGACGTCACCAAAACCGCTGTTAATAATGTAAAAAAAATAATCCAAGATGGCGGACGGCTTCACTGTTTTTAGGCAAAATATTTCAAAAGCTAAGCAAGATGTGAAAAATAGTAATTTTGTATATAATTTTGAAAGTTCTGTCAAATGAGACAAAGTTTGTTTTTATTGCTATATTCCTTTAAGATTCCAATAACTAATTGAAAGCCGCTACGCAGGCTAATAACTAATGAAAGTCATTTTTACTTACTTGTATGACTTTTACAATTGTTGAGAACAATAAAACTAACTCGAGGCTTATTGCTATTTACAATTCAATCACATAACCTGAGCCTGCAATATTTCAGGGAAGAATCTCACGCTCAGGATACGAGATTGATTACAATTTAGCACGAAGCCTCGCCGTTCTTAGGCCATTGCCTGTTGGGATTTGACTATGATAGACAAATTTAGATAGCTGATTACATGGAGAGTTTAAAGCGCAGTTTAAGTTTTACCAAATTAACCGAACTTAAACAATTTAGCAGTTAGCTACTTGGAAAGTTTAAGTCCAGATTGCCTCAGCTTTGGTCTATCAATGGAAGAATAAGGCCTGGCATTAGCTGTAAAATCTAGGTCCACTGCGATCCTAAGCCAAGCTCTGTAGTGAATGTAAACTCGTGTATTACAATTAAATGAAGGCTGGCAGTGACCAATGTTCATTTTCTCTTCTCTTGAGATGAAACCATTTATGATTTTAGATTATCCCTGTTCAAAGAAGAGAAGAGTGGTACGTCCAAGATCTTAGTTAATCAGGTGCGAGCATTTCAAAGCTTTGTATTTCGTGGACCACTGTCACACTGTCGCCAGCGACTCTATCAGGGCCTCTTTTAAAATATAGACTGGGGGGACATGTCCTCCCCTAGTCCTCTTACTGCCCCCTCCAGTCGGCAATTTTGTCCCCCCCCCCAGTGCAAGGTCCCTAAGAACTACCTGTAGTAGGTGGTCAACCAGCAATTCTAGCTTAGTTTTTCCAAGGAATGATACTCCAAAGAGACCACCCTATCTTACTCTTCAGTGACACTGAGAAGACTGAAGACAAATGTGTCGATGTCAAGTACCCCAATACATGTAATACTGTACTGTATAATTTGAAGTGTGGTGAATGATAACATTATACCACGCACATTTTCATTACCTCATCATCACATCATGTTGCCTTATAGGGACTGGATTACATTTGGGAGACTGTAAAATGGCAGTAATTGTGTCACTGATTATAAGGTTAATTTCTTGTTGGAACACTAGCTCCTCAAAATGCTGGAAATAGCTAATCTGAGATTCAGGAAATCCAAAATTTTCTGGGTAGATGCTCCCAGACCCCTCTAGACGGCTCGCATCTTCGGTGCTCGATTCGGTTGTCTCAGAATCCTAGTTACGGGCCTGATTTGCTGCCCTATGACGTATATTTATTAGTTACCATGCATACATATGCTAGTAGCTGCAGTGATACAGACTTGCCGACTGGAACTTCTCCAGGTCCACCGCGAAATATGCCCCCCCCCAGTTACACATCCTTAAAAGAGGCCCTGGACTCTATCAATGAAATCATTAGTATTCTAGACTTGAATTCATCAACAATCCTATCATCTATGCCGGAAATACTCATTGTGTTAAGCCCTGGGCAAACTAGGAAACATTGTTTTCTACCAATGTCTTGCCATGTTTCCAAGAGTGGGCAAACACTAGGAAGCATTAGTGAGAAACACAGGGAAACATCAAATGTTTCGGAATGCGCTAAGAAACATTTTTTGCTTCTCGGGAAACAAATTTTGTTTCCGCAACAATGTTTCCACGGGTGGGCAAACAGGGAAACAGTTGAGGAAACATCGAGAATTACAAATGTTTCCACAACAATGTTTCCTAGTTTGCCCTGGGCTTTAATGGTCGTGAATGCGTAAGCCGTTCAAATATGATATAGTTTTCATCTACTTAAACCACGCAGGAAGAGCATGGCAAGCAAAACCATGTCCACATTAGCCATGTTATAGATTTGCTGTAGTTTTAGACCGTTTTAAACATTAGACAATGAGACATGTGGCGACCATATATGTGGGTGTGACCTCATCAGTTATTTACAGATAAATTTAAGACGACAGGCCACTTGTTGAAAACTTTCTATCCAGCAATACGTGTCCTTTCCCAACAATAACCAAAAGCTATTATAGAGTCTCTTCTAACATGTCAGCAATATTTTACAGTAGATTTGTGGAGGTCACACTAATATGGCCATCATTGGCTTCGTTTATGCATAGGCTATGCCATAGCGGATGGACTCACTTTCCTGTTTTTCAGATCAGTGTCTGGCGCCTATCCCATAAAGTGCCGTCTTGGACTGCATGCACGCTGGCTATAAGCTTTCAGTATAGCTCCCACATTGGAACATGTTATTGCTAATACTTAACAACAATAATCAAAGATCTGTCTATAACGTACGCATGCTGAATAAAACGTTACTGCGTCTGGCTCAACTGAACAACGGATTAAATACGTTTGTGTCCTTTTCTGATGACGTAAAGGACATGTTCATTCCACTTGAGGTCGCAGCTTATCGTAATTATAGTCCGCCTAAAATTTCAGAATGTAGTACTAATTCAGTTAAGTTCACTCTCATTATAACTTAATTAACTCTTTGAAACGAGTTCGCTGTAAGACCACAGTTGGTTAGTAGCTCCTTTACTTTAAGCCGGTTTTCCACTAGCGATTTATTTCGCACGAAACGACCTTTTTCCTTTGTCGGCATCAGTGGAGTGACGCACATAGGGTAGGGTTAGGGCAATAACTAAGGGCCCCCGACTGTTAGGGGCCCCGAGGGCCCCCCACTAAATTTAGATTAATACGGTCATGATTTAGATTAATGCGGTTATACGGTATTACAATAAATAAACATCGACAGTGGCTATTTACATCGACAGTGGCAACTGACATTTTATTTTATCTCAAATAAAACAAAAGTTATTGTTATTAGTTATTACATGAAGTACGTCCAAATTAAAAATGCAAAACAGAATGTCGGCCATGATGGCTGGAAAGCGAAAGTACAAATCTGGGGCACAAAAGAGAGCCGATAAAAAGAAAAAAACGGAGAGTTCTTTATCAAATACAAGTTGCATATCAACATTTCTTCAAATGAAAGATAATGTCGACAATAATGAAGCCCCACGTCTAATAGCAGTAGCAGTAGCATCGCTGAAGTATAAGTCGAAGACGTTTCCTTTTTTGACAACGCCGAAAAAGATTTAAATTCCTCTACTTGCCCTGAGTCCAATCATGGTGTTACTGGTGACAAGGACGAAAACTTCACTCCCTTGAAACTTTCCATGTCTACTTCAGAAGCAAAGTTGGATGAAAATAAAGATCTGGTGTTTGATACGACAAGAAAGTTACCAAACGGCCGTGGTCATTTTAATTAAAACATAACAGTTTGTGATTTGAAAATACTGGTTATGCATCACAAGTCATGCAGACCGGCAGGACCCTTCGAATATGAAGATGAGGAAGGGAATTCAATAGTGAATTTCAGTGCCAGATGCTACAATAAGTATATTGATAATATGTCAATACAAATTACAATATATGCTATTCAATGGAACTACAAAAACCTTATGTTTGTGATGTTACTCTGAGTGTATCAACAACGGACAAGTTGAAAAATCAACTTGACCACGGCGGGAATCGAACCCACGACCTTTGGTTTGCAAGTCCAATGCTCTACCAAGTGACCAACTGAGCTAGGAGGTCGAGACGGTTCGAGTGTGTGATATTTCGAAACTCAATCTAGTTTCTTCTATATCAGTATGTTCTTACATGATAATGAATTTTTATGTAATATGGTGTTATGCACTCAGGTGTAGGTATATGTTTGTGATGTTACTCTGAGTGTATCCACACCGGACAAGTTGAAAAATCAACTTGACCACGGCGAGAATCGAACCTACGACTCATATCATGTAAGAACATATTGATATAGAAGAAACTAGATTGAGTTTCGAAATATCACACACTCGAACACTCTCGACCTGGTAGCTCAGTTGGTGGAGCATCGATTCCCGCCGTGGTCAAGTTGTGAAACAATGTTTTCTATTATAATATGTGTTGTAAACTTTGAATAGTTTAAACAAAAGTATGAATTTTGCAACACACGGCGCCTCATACTACACGCGTAAAAATGATAAGCCTGCTGTTTAACAGGATTCAACAATGTTGTGCTGCCCACGTTGTTCACACTTGTCAACAATATTGAACAATATTGTTGAGCCTGAATCGGGTGTGACAATGTTGTTCAATATTGTTGACGTGAACGGATGAGAATAAAACGTGTACGAAATCTTTGCGCGCCTATAATGACGCACTACATGTAAACCTTTTATATAGTGACTCGTATGCATTATACATTGAAATCTTTTTATAGCGTCTGGGGACGAGGCAGTTACACATCCAAATCTTTGAACAAATGCTCAAAGTCGAAAAAATATTTCAAAAAATAACAGAAACGACGAGAACTTACTGAGAAAACTCCAAAAAGCAAGAAATATTTTTTTACCAAAACCAGGGGGGGGGGTGGTGAAAATTGTAGGTTCACCCCCTGGTTTTGGTAAAAACATTTCTTGCTTTTTGGAGTTCTAGATTTCTAGGTTCTAGATTTCAAAAATTTGGGGGGGCATGCCCCCCGACCGACTCCCCTAGGCAGGTCGCGCCGTGAGACACGTACGGTGCGTTTCGTCACTAACGATGTATGACAAAAGGGCCCCCGACACAAAATATGCCTAAGTGCCCCGTGTTCCTCCGTTACGCTACTGATCGGCATGCATTTTACCATGTCTTGCTGACGTAGTAAGTGATAACCTCCCCAAGAATCCCCGCGCGCCTAGCTCACCCAGAGCTCTGAACGCTATTAATACTAAAGAGCCTGGGGTACGAGGCTGGTAAGTGATAGCGACAAAGGAAGAAGGTCGCTTCGAGCGAGAAAATTCGCTAGTGGAAAACCGGCTTTAGAATCATTTTGGTGTTGAGCTGAAGATAAGCCAGGCAGCCCAGGCTGCACGCAGGCTAAGCTGAAAATTAATAGTAGACCAATCTTGAACATAACAGTCTACCGGCAACTTGGACATTACTTGAGAAATTTTTCCGGACAAGTTTTTAAATTCTGGGTCATCAGAGTTTATGTGTTAACTTCAGGTAGTTTTAAATCGTTTATCATCAGAATAAACAACCTCATCGCAGTCTGAATTCATGCCGGTCTGAAGTCAATCGTTTTGGTTCAGTAGGCGGAATGACTTGAGACCAGTCTGAGTTATTTTCGTCCCGGTATCATACATCTATTATAGGTAATACTACGACTGAAACAACGAAATGGTCCCGATTTGACTTTGTTCCGCTTCTGGGCCTTGAAAAATATTGTACAGTCCGATCTGCGCATGTGCACAAAGGAGCCCTCTTTTTTAATTATACAAACAGTTTATTTAGGTTTTACTTCATTTTATGTTTTTGTTGTGTCTTGATAATTTATTATACTCTAGAATCATGAAAATATAAATAGTTGTTGACTAAATTCTATATTTTGGATGCCAAAATGTAAACATTAATTATTAATAATTTAATATTTATGCTTGGTTCAGTTTAATAGAATATTTTAAATACAGGCTATAATTAGCTTATAGCAATGTTTATTTCCCCAACCGGTTGGACATATTTTTACAAATGGCCAATCACATGCGAGATTCAAATTCTGAACCTAAATCAAGTGTGGAAGTGGGATTTGCAATCGGTGTGACCAGAAGGAGGTAGGTAATCTTTGAGATAATCCCTTCGAGTTAAGCCCTTTTCGAGTTCAGCTCCGACCACGCCCAAATCACACCCATTTTTGTTAAGGGCTTAACTCGAAGAAATAAACATAACTTGGAAAGTTCGAGTTAAGCCCCGAGAAAAAAGAAGGGCTTAACTTGAAGTCATTGAAAATAATCGACGCTCGAGTTAAGCCCCAACATTAGAAGACTAACCCGCCAACAAATTATAGCAACGGGAAAAACGCACCCGTCCCCCTAATGCAATAATGTACTGAGTTTGAATTAAAAAATGGGCCTGTCGGCCTGACAAGAATTGAAGAATCGCTTTCTAACGGAATGCATTGCGCTTAATTGGATTAGTTGAAAAACTTAAAACTACGTATATATTTGAAAACAAGCCGGCCGCGCGTGCCTAGAGTGTAAAGTGTAAAATACACATCGGAATAATTTGAAACACAGTAATGTTAGATGCACTTACTTGTAAATCCTTTCAATTTCTTTTCTTTCAAGAGCTTCCCAGTTTTGGTTTGACTGCGGCAAAAAATTTTTTTGGACATTTGCCAAAAAAGGTTCAAAATTTTTTTTTCCAAACAAAGATTAATTAAATTAAGACAAATTAAACTACAAATACCAATTGAACTACATCTTTTGTGCCCCACCCTTTTGCAAATTTTGGGGGCCCCTTCAATTGGCGGCCCGGGGAAAACTGCCGCCTTTGCCTTTCCCTTATGATAGGCCCTGCACACATCTCCCAGTTAAAATTGTCCACTTTGTCCCCCGGCCCGCTGATAGATCGGAAGAGCATTTCCTAGTTAAAAACGTCAACTAGTGCATCACTTAAGGATTCTAATTTGAAACAATTCATATGCACGAAATAGAAAGCTAGGTATTACTAATTTTAGAAATGAAGAAATTCGGAGCTTTATAATATTATAGGCAACCAGACTGGCCAAACATTTGATAAAATCGACTTGGGATATAACCAATTAATGCCATTTGCCTTTCGATTTGCGTAGATGCGTCGCTCTTCACGGCCAACCAATGGTCATAATAGAGCCATTCATACATCCATATGTATACGGCACATTAGCAGGGCACTATATTGTTTGTATAACGCAAAATAGCTTTGCTAGGATTTCCGGCCGACTGCAAGTCCGTTTTCGCTTCTAGAATGATAGCCTGCTTTTCCGTTTTGTCACCAAACTCTCTCACTGACACCACTCATGCTCTGGCAGTGCTTTTATTTGTGCGAGTGAGTATCCGTCCTCTTATTTTTATGATATCGCTCAAAATGGACACGCGGTTGATATTCAGAGCTCAGAAGAGGTTGGACAGCAGGCCGCAAAGCATCATGGGTATTGAGCGCCTAATTCCGCGCGTGACTTCATTGACTGTTGACTGTCGAGGAGTGAACATCTCTCTGACTAAACCAATATGGAAGCTTTCGAACGACAAGTGTGTCAGGCTGCGATA